GTGCCCAGTGCCTGCATTTTAATTGTTATGGACAAATAAAAAAATAACAGCAATGAATTTAATGTGTTAGTGCCAAGTGAAGGCCCAATGATCTTGGCTGAATGAACATGTCACAGAACTAGAAATAGACAATACTACAGGTGAATTAAGTCATCATCAAGCAAAGTTTATGTTCAACTCAATTGAACCAGTTCACACTATCCACATGTTAAAAGTGGCCATTTTTATCTGCAAAATAATATTATTCTTATCAGAGTAATGTTCATTTGAAATTTATGTTTACGTTTTATTTAAACTAGTAAAATTTCTTTGATTTTATGTACTATATTGCTTGACAGCTTCAAGTGCTTAGATAAAAGAGTAAAATAATTTACATCCACATGGGAAGTTGAGGATCATAATCCATCTACAAACTATTACTAAATTATACAAAACATTGACCAGAAATTAATACTAAAGACTGAAACCCAAGTTCTGTAGTTTACAAGACCTTTATTTCACCTGATTATCTTTATGAATAGCTTTACAATTGAATGTGACAGTATGATAAACTTGTGCTTTTTTTGTGTTTGTCTCATCAAGTCTGTGTTATCCATTTTTTTTTTTTTTTTCTCTTGAAGGATGAAGACCTACAAGAGATGGAGGATTTAGCCCAGAAAATGGAGACTCAGTTTGGCCAATTTTTTGATCATGTGATTGTCAATGACAACTTGCAAGATGCATGTGCCCAATTGTTGGCTGCCATTCAGAAGGCTCAGGAAGAGCCTCAGTGGGTACCAGCAACATGGATTTCCTCTGGTGCTGAGTCTTAATGAGGCCTCTTGAATAATGCTGGAGTTTTAACACTATATTTGTTATGGAGATCTAGAATAACAGCTGCAATCCAGAACAGCAGTATTTGATCCATTATAATGTATGCAGCCATAAAAGTATAGCAGTTTATTAATCTTATTTGAAAAAAATGTATAATACAGTTTTGTAGTTATCTATTTGGCTCGTAGGGAAAATATTTTTCCTTTACCTCATGTGCAGCTGTGATAGAAATATGAATGTTAAATGTTAATTACAAATAATGTTAAATCACTGACTATGAAAACCTTCATACATTTTTTTGGAAGAGTCAGATAAAAAGAGCTTTCCTAAATAAAACAAGCAGCATTTAATTTCAGAAAGTGTATTTTGCTTTATGAAACTTTTTTTTTTTTTTTGGAGTCAGAGCCTCAAGCTGTCCCCCTGGGTAGAGTGCTGTGGCATCACGGCTCACAGCAACCTCCAACTCCTGGGCTCAAGGGAGTCTCCTGCCTCAGCATCCCAAGTAGCTGGGGCCACAGGCGCCGCCACAACACCTGGCTATTTTTTTGGTTGCAGCTGTCATTGTTGTTTGGCGGGCCCAGGCTGGATTCGAACCGCCACCTTAGGTGTATGTGGCTGGCCCCTTAGCATGAAACTTTGTTTTATGATTTTTTTTTTTTTACAAGAAGTGACTACTATCTCAGCAAGAAAGGTTAGTATACACATTTCTCATCTAACATCAAAACTCACAGAAACCGTACCGCCCTTATTACTTACAAATCAGGCTACAAGGAAAAATTATTCTTTTTTTTTTATTGAATAGTAACTGTGTACATTAATGCACTTCTGGGGTACAGTGTGGAGTTTTCACAAACAATCTGAAACACTTCCATCAAACTGGTTAACATAGCCTTCACGTAATTTTCTTATTTATTGTGTTAAAACATTCATATTCTACTCATAGAAAGATTCACTTGTACCCTTGTAAGATGAACCACAGAAGTGTACCCTCGAATCCCTCTCCCTCCACCCATTCCCCCTCCCTCCCCCTTCCCCGTATCCTTAGATTATTATTAGGTTATAGCTTTCATATAGAAGGTATAAATTAGTTTCATAATTGGGGTGTGTACATTGGATACTTTTTCCTCCATTCCTGTGATACTTTGCTCAGAAGAACATTCTCCAGCTCCATCCATGTGAACATGAAGGACGTAAAGTCTCTATCTTTCTTAATGGCTGCATAGTATTCCATGGTGTAGGAAAAATTATTCTTATTAGAGCTGTAACAATCATTAATTTTCCTAAAAGCAAATATCCACATGTATGTCTAAATTAGGAACGGACAATGGACTAGTTCTAGAGACATATACAAGTGTATGAGAAAATCACTTCCCTTAGATCTGAGACTTCCAGTGGCTCTCCCTGACCCTTTAAGTTAATTTTTAGCATCATTAACACCGTTCATCCATCCCTCCCCCCTTTTTAACTAAAAAAAGAATATGTGATTCAAAATTTTGTAGTTCTAAAAGTTATATTACTAAAAAGAAAAACCCAATCAAACAAAACCATAAAAATAGTCGTTTTTAATGATACTTATGTGAGCTCAGATTTGATTTTATGTTGTGGTTCTTTGAGAAAAAGTTTCCCCAAACGTTATTGACACAGTTGTGGGACCGAGGGTAAGCAACTGGAGAAAATGTAAGATTATATTGATCCACACCCAGCCCCAGGCCCGCGCGGAATCGCTGGGACGCGGGAACAAATGAGTTCGTCCCTAACCCAGCCTCTTAGGGACTCCGGACCTGGTAGCGCGGAGGCGGGCGTGGACGCGGCTCCGCTAAGCCCCCGCCTCCCCAGGTCCCGGAGGCAGCGGCGCAGCGGAGAGCTGGGTTCGGGCCGGCGACGGTTACGCCCAGGGAGCCCGGCACGGACAGCAACATGAGGGCCACCTCTGGGCCTCGGCTGGAGGAGGGCGACTCGGTGAGTGGGGAGGGCCCGTCGGCCACGACGTGGCGGTACAGAGGGTGCCCTAAAGCAGCAGCTACTCTCGGGGGTGGGGAGGACGCCAACGATCTGGGGCTCACTAGGGCAGAGTCCTGCTGGTGGGGTGCGCGCATCGCCCCGTGAGCGCTCACAGGTTAGACTGCAGCCGGGCGAGGCCGGGACCCGAACTCCCGGAGCACAGGCGCCAGGCCTTAAGTCTCCGGGGACCTGAGTCCGCGTTGCCAAGACAACACCTCATTTCGCAGCCCCAGCCCGGAGGGTTCCGGTGCTGCCAGCGAAGACTCCAACAGCCTCCTGCCGGAGAAGGCTTTTATTTATTTATTTATTTATTTAGAGACACAGTCAAACTTTGTCACCCTCGGTAGAGTGCCGTGGCATAAACTCTTGCCTTAGTCTCCCGAGTAGCTGAGACTACAGGCGCCCGCCACAACGCCCGGCTATTGGGTTTTTTTTTTTAGAGACGAGGTATGGCTCTGGCTCTGGCTGGTCTCAACCCATGAGCTCAGGCGATCCACCCGCCTCGGCCTGCCAGAGTGCTAAGATTCCAGGCGTGAGCCCGCGCCCGGCCTGAGAAAGCTTTTAGCTACCCAGAAAAGAGACCGCTATTTGCCGTAGAGACTTTTAATCAAAATCTTCAGTTACATCCTCCCTCCCTCCCCGCAAGCAAGTAACTGCAGCCACTTGGAAAACCGTGATGGCAGCCCGGTGCCCGGTGCCCGCTGGACCTTTAATCTCGGGCACGTCAGCCCCCAGTCGCAGGCCCCTTTGTTCAGCTGATGGTCTGCAGAGAATGGACCACGTCCGCGGCTTCCCCGGGTCCCAACTCCTCCCACCCGGAGCTGCGGCGGAGCGGCCGGGGCGGCGCAGCGCGATGACGCGTTACGCCGGCGCACGGCCGGGCTGGGCGGGGTGCGGTGCCCTGCGCCGGGGCGGGTGGCCGCCGGGACGGCGGTAGGACAGAATGGGAAAGAAGCAGGTGGTAAGCGAGCCTTAAATACTTTTGAGATGTTGGGATTTGTCTTCAGTTGAGCTACCTTACTTTTGACTTAGAGATTGTTGAGCGAAACGTCATTTTTTGCGGGACTTTTGAAATAAAGGGTCACATGAACTGGGTCCTAAGATAGAATGAATGCGCTTCATAGCATCTTAGGAACAATAGTGCATCCTGTGGCTGTCATATTTTTTCTGTTGTAACTTTGACTACTGGATAGTATGTAGACAGCTTGCCTTGTCCTAATTTTGTAGCATTTGTATAAATCTACTGTTTGAACTAAATGGAACAAATTACAAGAATGTCTGCAATTTATAATCATTGTCTTCTGCAAGCAGCATGAGATAACTTGGAACATTAAATTGACTTGTCGGCATTTCTATTAGTATTTTATTTTGAAAGATTCCAGAATGCTTCTTAACTGTAATGCACTCTGAACTACAAACACTTTCTTACTCATGTAAAACAGCATTTATAAAGGCTTTTTGCCCCTATTCTTCTGCCCTAAAATTAATTCTAAACGCTGAATTCAGTGATTTTTTAAATTTTTATTTGTTGAGACAGAGTCTCATTTTGTCGCCCTCTATAGAGTACTGTGATGTCATAGCTCACAGCAACCTCAAACTCTTGGGCTCAAGCAATCTTCTTTCCTCCAGACTCCCAAATAGCAGGGACTACAAGCGCCTACTGCAACGCCCAGCTATTTTTAGAGATAAGGTCTTGCTCTAGATTAGGCGGGTCTCAAACTCCTGAGCTCAAGCAATCCACCTGCCTTGGCCTCCCAGAGTGCTAGGATTACAGACGTGAACCACAAGCCCAGCTTTTGAAGTGATCCTTTAAAAAAGTACTTTACTATGTGGCTTAAAACCTCATTGGTTTTCCATTGAATTAAAACAAAATCCAGGCTCCCTCCCTTAGTCTGTAAGGCCCTAGGTAATCTGGTCTTTGCCTATCTTTTCATGGTAACTGTGCTGCAGCATTGCTATCCTTTTACTTGGAATCTTCCAAGCCCAATCTCCCCTAAAGGCCTTTGCATTTGCTCCCTGTTCCCTGAAATGTTCGCACCTACTTTCCCTAACTAAAGTAGACCCCTCCCATTTTCCCTCATTACATAATATGAATATATAGATATACATTTTGTCATATATAGTACTTATAATTGTATATATTTAATATTGTCTTCTAATACTTAACTTTAAAATGTAAGTTCCATGCTTCTTGAATCTCTCTGTTTTGTTCATTAATGTATTCCTGATGCTTAGAATATGGCCTGGCCTGTAGCTAAAAAGAAATGTAGAAAGGAAGAAATCTTATATGAAATTTAGAAATGATAGAACAAATTTTAAACTGCCCACCTGTTTCTCATCAGTTTTCATGTATCAGCGGAGTTATCAAACGATCTGAAGATTCTGGTCTGATCCACTATATTTATTTTTGTCATGTCTGAACAACAGATTTTTAAAAAATACTTCTCTGATATTTAAGTTACATGAAGTAAAGATGCTCTAAGCTTTTACTTACAATTTTCTTCGTCCCCTCCCCCACAGCGTCCTCCACGAACCCTTCCACCTGTGCCAAGGTAAAGATAATTTATAGTAATTTCATTACTGAGTTTTAAAAATACAAAATTAAGAAAGTAGTAAAATTGGCTAGTACTGTTGAAAAATAACAATGATTCAGAAAAAACACTGGGAATTCTTAGAAAAAGACTTCCTAAAATTTGTAAGTGAAGAACCCTAGACTCATAAGGATAACAGTTACAGTTAAATGCACCTTTTAAAACCGAATGTCAACCTAGGATAATATGTCGGATAATATATACATTCTGAATGTTTCAGTGTCTTGTTTATCAGAATTCTTATCCTCATTTGTTTGCTACAAGAGTTTTCTTAGAGTTTAAGCTGATTTAATCAGTGACAAATAAGAATTCTTAATCTGTTTAATCTACATTATTAATAGACAGAGAGTATGTATATGTAGGTTCAGAAAATATTGGGATTATCTTATTAGCAGTGTTATTAAACAGCCTTTTACTTACAAACAATAAGCTAGTTTGTAAACTAGCTGATGTCTGAAAGTTAATTTTATTTTAGATTTGTAATAAAGTCAATTTGTAGGTCGACAATAGAATGGATTTCTAATTAATAGTTTCTTTTTGCTTTTGTTGTCTTGCTGATTAAATTTGGTTGGTATCATGTGAAGTTCTGTTCAAGGTGAGTAAGTTTACTGTTCTTTCTCTTTTTTTAATCTAGGAAGGAGAGTTTATTGTTAATGTGAAATATTCTAAGAATAGTATTCGATGTTTAAAAATTACTTTGATTTCTCTTAAAATTGAATCTGAATGCTATAATTTATATTTCTATAATATCTTCTCATCATAATAATCTCCCATGACTGCCATTTTAAAATTATGGTTGATGTACAACACTAGATGACTATACCATTATAAAAGGACTTCTGAATGGAGTCACCCAGAGTATAACTGTTGGCTAGTTTATAGCTCTGTAATAGGAACTGTACCTTTTTTATTTCATTTAGTCAGGATAGGCTAGGCTATGCTCTGCTAACAACCCCCACATTCCAGTGATTAATAACCTTAGACAGGGTTAATTCTAGTTAGTGCAAAGCCAATGTGGCCACAGTCTGGGGCCGTTGCCTTCTACTACCTCTTTACTAATGCTGTAGTGATCCAGACTACTTCTGTAGTTCTGCCATCTTAAAATGAGGCACTCTCATTTGCCACAGCAAGGAAAGAAAAAGCTGAGGGGTTACTCGCTTTTTCAGTGTTTTTGCTCCCAAATGATTCAGAGCACTTCTGCCTGCAGCCTGTTGGTGAGAAACCAGTCATGAACCCCACCTAAGTGTAAGGGCCCAAGAAATGTAGGGGATCAGATGAATATTTGTTGAGCCCACTTTCCATGTCACGGTTTTGTTTGTTTTTGAAGATAAGGCCTTGCTCTCTTACTCACGCTGGAGTATAGGGTGCAATCATAGCTCACTGCAACCCAAACATCTGGGCTCAAGCAATCTTCCTGCCTCAACTTCTTGCGTAGCTGGGACCACTGGCATGTACTACCATGAATGGCTAATTTTTTTAGTTTTGTACAGATGGGGCCTCACTGTATTTCTCATGCTGGTCTCCAAGTCCTGGCTGCAAGTGATTTTCCTGCTTCAGTTTCCCAAAGTGCTAGGATTGTAGGCATGAGCCACTATGCTTGGCCTCTGCATCACAGTTTCCAATATTACTGACCAGCAGTGTGCTACTCATACCACAGTATGGTCTTTCTTTGACCTTCTCAATTTCTTGCCTTCTTCTCCTTCTAGAAATTGGCTAGACCCAGGGAAGAGGGGGCAAGTTCTTCCCTACTAAAGTTTTCCTCTAGGCGAGGTATGGTGGCTCATGCCTGTAATCCCAGCACTCTGGGAGGCCAAGGTTGGTGAATTGCCTGAGCTCAGGAGTTCGAAACCAGCCTGAGCTAGAGTGAGACCCTGTCTCAAGAAATAGCCGGGCATTATGGCAGGAGCCTATAGTCCCAGCTACTTGGGAGGCTCAAGAAGAGGATCACTTGTGCCCAAGAGTTTGAAGTTACTGTGAGCAATGACAACCATGTTATTCTACAAAGGGTGACAAAGTGAGATTCTGTCTAAAATGTAAAATAAAAGTTCTCTTCTGACTATTCTGTGCACTGCATTTTAGGCAGCCTTTTCTGTTGATGTTATTTCTGTTTTACAGATGACATTCCACTTAATCGTCCTAAGAAAAAGAAGCCCAGAACAAAAAACACACCAGGTAAGAAGTCACTCCCTGTTGTGTAGAATCACAAGTTGTCCCAAGATCTCAGGCATGGTAAACATCGCAGATTAGGGAGAGGCAAGGCCCCAGCATCTCCACTGCTTGGTGGAGGTCAGCTTGAGTTGGATTCCTGGTAATAGTGAGGGACAAAGTAGTAGGTAGCCTGAGGAGAATGTAGAAGCATTCAGAATAAATGGTTGTGCCACTTAGCTCTAACTTCCACAGTATTTTTGAACTCTTCAAGGTCTTTTATCCTTAGACAACAAAAATTGTTTTAAGCTGTGATTGGTTATATACTCTTGAACAAACTGCTGTGTTTAGTGACACTGAGTTCTTAAATTCGTCATTTCAGTCTGAAAATCTCTACATCACAACTTGATTCGGAAGGGAGGGTGGCACCATCATTTAAGTATTAAAGCTCCAATAATGACAGGTACTATGAACTTCTTTTGGTTCTAGTTATCCACTAGTAATCCTGAGTGTTGCATCAGAAACTCAAACTTAGCACATCCAGAATCCATCCTTACCTTCAAAAGTAGATCAGTGTATTTATTTTTTTAATTTCAGATTGATATGAGAGTACAAATGATTAGGTTACAGTGTGTGTGTTTGTCAGGTAAGGTCCCTATTGTAGTTGTATCCTGCATCCAGGAGGTGTGCCATGTACCCTTACATTTTGCCCATAGGTGGGAGCACACCAATCCCTCTCCCTCCTCCCTTCTCCTTCCTTCCTTTCCATCCTATCTCTCCCCTTCTCTTCCCTCCTACCCCATCCCCTCAACTAGAATTAAATTGAGTTTGAGTTTTTCTCTAGTGTGGGTATATATTAGTTTGTCTCTTGGGCTTTATATTAGTATTGAGTACATCGTATACTTGCTTTTCAATTCTTGTGATAATTTACGAAAGAACTAATGCCATAAGGACTAATTTACATAAGAACTAATGCCTGCTGTTTGTAGGCCATCTGAGGGCACTGAGCCACAGAGCTCTCCAACTCTGTCTAGGCTAATACAAAAGATGTAAAGTCTCCATCTTTTTTATGGATGAATAGTATTCGATGGTATACATATACCACAGTTTGTTAATCCATTCCTGATTTGATGGGTATTTCCACATCTTGACGATTGTAAGTTGAGCTGTGATAAACAATCTAATACATATGTCCTTATGATAAAATTATTTTTTTCCTTCTGGGTAGATGCCTAGTAATGGGATTTCAGGATCAAGTGGAAGGTAACAGTAGATCAATTTTTACTTCTCATGATTTTCTGCCATTTTCTCAGCACTCAGGCTTGAAACCTGAGAGTTACCTTTAAGTAATCCTTTAACTTCACTCTTTACTTGTGACCTCAAACAATCCTGGAAGGTTTCTGTGGTTGGTGCTAGTTTTTTTGTTTTGTTTTTACATAAATGGAATCATATGCTACATATACTGTCATTATTCCTGAATACATAGAGTTTTGTGTATTCTTAAATAGTGACTTCATAGTATTAACATGTTGAAAACATCATAATCGCTAGTCTGTTGTTCATTTGGGTCATTTCAAACTTTTTTGCTAAACAGTGTTACAGTTCTACATAAAAAAGTGGGGGATGGGGAAGAAGGAGTGTTTCTGTAGATGGATTGCAAATACTAAAATTACTAAATGAAGGACAGGTGCATTATTGATATGATAGATTCTGCTAAATTGTCTTCAAGGAAGCTTTAGTTATTTTCTCACCACCAATAGTGTTTGAGAGTGTCATGTTCTCTAAATTCTTAACATCGAACAATATTAATCTTTTAATTTTTTTTGTTCAGTTAGTAGGCAAAAAGTAGTTTATTTTAGTTTGCATTTCTCTAAGTACTAGTGAGGTTAAACATCTTTTTATTTGTTTATTAATTCATTTCTATTTCTCTTTTTGGTGAAGAAGACGGCCAAGGGAATGCAGAATGCAGTCAAGTAAAATACAAATGTACTAGTGTGCTAGAATTCTGTAGTAAGATTTCATAAAGGAAGAGGTTGAAATGAATTACCAGATGAAGAGATTTATAAATTATCTATTCACTTCAGTTATCCATGACTATTTTATCATAGATTAATTTATTAACAAGGAACTAAACTATATAGAGGCTGATAAAAATTCTTAAGGAACTCTCTCTCCCCTCCTCACTCCTCCTCATTCTCCTCCTCATTTTTCTCTTTTTCTCTCCTCTTTTCTCTTCTCTTTTTCTCTCCTTCTTGGTGGTGCTCTTCAGCTTCCCTCCCCCCACCCATAAAGACCTTTCGTACAAAAAAAAAAAATCTTAAGGCAGTAGACAAGAGAGTTCTTTATGGCATCAGTTTTTATTGTTTTTACATTTTTGAAAGTTCTAAAATTTCTGAGGCAGTTTCTCCTTTTCTCACCTTTTGCTTTTCTTTTTAACTACCTCCACTGTTTCTTTCTCAGCCTTTCAAATTCCCTAATTTATTTCTTTTCAACTTAAAGCCCGGAGTTAGAGGAAAGGAGGGAAGAAATCAAGATTTGGCCACAATTCTGACAGAGGAGTTAATATGTGGGAAACATTCTCATTACCTTTTCCCCCATCTTTTTAAGGCTCAGTCTCTGTTGAAGTTATCCCATTTTTTCGTACTCTGTTTCTCTGTAGCTCATGCTTCTTTGGAAGGCCTTGCTCAGACTGCTGTTCGTAGGCCATCTGAGGGCACTGAGCCACCAACTGAAGAGCTCCAAGAGAATCTAGATGCTCCTATTCAAAGGAGACAGAAGAAGACAAGGCTGCCTCTTGGTATGTGAAGAAACCAAGGTTAGGTTGTGATAGCAGTTGTGATTTGAGGGATATGATAAAAACTTGTCTGCTCCCATCTTTCTCCATCCATATCCCATGGATGGGTTCTTGCTTTCTTGCTTAAAATGTATATTACTAGAGTAACTCCTATAGCTTAACTCATACTTTCAGGCCTCTTTGGATAATATGTATACTGATTATGAGAGCAGGGGTACAAATTCAGGACTAATCAGAAATTTCAGATCTCAGTGCATATAAATTTTAGTCAGTAATGAAATGGACGTTTTAGATTAAATTGGGAAAAGATAGAGTCTATATTAACAATAATATAATGAAACAATAGCCAACATTTATTGAGTCTTTTTTTGTCCTAGACATTGTTTGCAGGTAAACAAAATACTATACTCTTTCTTTGTCTATAAAATTGACAGTGCTTTTTTTCAAATTATAAAATCCTTTGTTCATGGGAAATAGGTACATTCATATACTGTGGATAAGAGCATAAATTAATATAGCCTGTCCATATTTCTAGGAATAGAAGTAACGTCAATCACTACAGTATTAAAAGATGTTAATGCAGCATCTTATAATATCTTAAAAATATTATAAAAGTAACATTTGGTGATAACCCAAATATCTAACAGTGAGATACTGGCTAAATAAGTAATTTTTTATCCAGTAAATGGGAACAAAGTTATTTACTAAAAGGATTGTTAAAGTGAAATAAGAGGTGGAAAACTATCAGCAATGTGTTGTTAAATCAAAAACAAAGTTATAGAATAGTATGTACTAGAGGATTCTGTTTTTGTAAAAATACATATATTGTATTAATTTCCTATGGCTGCATAACAAATTACCACAAACTGAGTGACTTAAAACAGCAGAAATTAATCTTTTCATAGTTCTAGAGGCTAGAAGTATAAAATCAAAGTGTCCAGAGAGCCATGTTCCCTCCAGAATCTCCAGGAAAGGTCCTTCCTCACCTCTGCTAGCTTCTGGTGGTTATTGATAGTGCTTAGTGTTCTTTGGCTTCATTCACAGGCACTGAGGGTTAGGATTTAAACATATCTTATATGGGGATCACAGTTCAACCCAGATTATAAGTATATATACACACACATAAACATAGTAAAAAGGATGGAAGAAGATATAATAGCAGAATTACTGTATTTTGCTATGTATAAAACACTACCATTATAATGTATACCCATGATTTTGGCCCAAACTTTCAGGAAAACACCCCTTGAGAAAGCTGCTGGCTCTTGGCTGGGAAAGACATATCAAGAGGAGAGTTAATGCTCCCCTGCTAAGTGTGCAGATTGTCCACCCTCCCACAACTACTCTCACTGTGAAGGCACCCTTTCCCTCTCTTCTGGGGGCCCTTCCCTCTCTGTCTTATCAGGGACTATGGCCAAGATGGCCGTGCACGTGGCCACTGGGGTGGGAGCTTCTGAGGCCACTTGGCCATTAGGTGGCCAGGCAGGTCCCCTCTGTGCAGCCAAGCCTGCCTCACAGCCCCGCCACTTCCCCTCCCCTGTTCAGGGCACTCAGTGGAAGCTATTTTGGCCTGTGTATAACGGATCCTGGATCCTCCTGAACTGGAACCCTGTGTGCCCAGTGGGCCCAGGTGGGAGGGCACAGTGGCTCTGGGTGGCCTGCTGGGCTCACCTGCTCCTGAACCATATTACTGATATATAATTATTATTATTCCCTTAAAAAATTTGGGTGAAAAAAGTATGTGTTATACATGGCAAAATACATTAACAGTGGCAGGGTTTTAGAAGGAAGGGTGATTTTAGTTTCTTATTTAATTTATATTTTACTAATTTTTCATATGTTGAACATATTTGATTTTTATAGTAACTAGGAAAAAAGGTTTATTAGAGTAAAACAAAGGGAAGGAACAAAGATTGGGAGATTAGAGATCTATTAACGTTGACACCTATGAATAATTTATTACAAATTAGTTTTCTTCCCTAATTACTTGTCCTAGAAAACATCCAAGTCCTGATCAGATGGAAGAATTATAGGAGCAGAAAAGGCAGAAACTAGAAAAGCCAGGAGAATGGAACACAGTTTGAGGAGGCAAGTTGAAGTAGGGTATCACAGTGCCTAGAGCATTGAGTATTTATGAGGAGCAGAGGGCAGAAGAGGGAAGAAGCAAGGAAAAGAGACAGAAATGAAGCCCTGACTAGCTTTACTTACTCTACAATTAATTTCATTTGTGGCATTGAACATAGTTTAAACTATATTAAACCTGCCTTTTGGAATGTTTATAAACTTTTGGAATGTAAATTAGTACAACTTTTATGGAAAAACAGTACAGAGATTTTTCAAAGAACTAAAAATAGAACTACCATTAGATCCAGCAATCCCATTACTGAGTAGCCAAAAGAAAATAGCTTATTAAGATACTTGTACTGATATGTTTATCTCAGTACTGTTCAGAGTAGCAAAGATTTAGAATCAATTTAAGTGTTCATCAACACTTTTCTTTTATGAATGCATAAAGAAAATATAGCACATATATATAATGGACTAATATTCAACTATAAAAAGGAATGAAATTATGTTTTTTGTAGCAACATGAATGGAACTAGAGGCTATTATCTTATATGAAACAACTCAGAAACAGAAAGTCAAATAGTGCATTTTCTCATTTATAAGCAAAAACTAAATAATGTGTACACATGGATATAGAGTTTGGAATGATATACTTTGGAGACTTACAGGGGTGAGAGAGTGGATAGGGGAGGGATGAAAAATTACTAAATGAGGACAATATAGATTATTTGGGTGATGGTTATACTAAAAGCCCACACCTCACCATTACACAATATATCTGTGCAACAAAACTGTACTTGTATTCCTTAAAATTAGACAATTAGTAATTTAATTAGGGTGCACATTTAAAAATCAAGATGGATACCAATACCTAGTTTTATAATTTGTGAAAAATGTCTTTACAGAAATAACTTAACCTTTTTTAAAGAAAATTCAGAACCCAGCTAAATTTTGGACCAAAAAGGACCTGTCACTGCCCTTCTAGAATACACCAAGCCTTGAAAGTTTAGCTTTCTGAATTTCTGGATTTTAAAATTTTGTTTTGAGTTTTATTTGCTCAAGGTGACCATGATAGGCTCTATTACTTGCATTATATTTCCAGTCCAGGCTGTAAGTATTTTATTAAAATAGAATTCTAGGGCCTAGAGGGCATTCTAGGGAGCCAGTATTTCTTGGTAGAAAGAGTAGCTAATGGGTTAGAAGACTTCATTGACTCATTTAAACTTAATACCTACCCTAGGTGTAGAAAAGAGATAACATAGTAGGACTGAGGTGTTATCCTTAGAAAGTCCTGCTCACAAGATTGGCCCTTAACTGGTGTCTGGGAACTGGCTCCCTACACTGATATAAAACTTTTCCTAAATTATAAAGGGGTTCACCTTACATCTGTGCTCACAATATCATTTTTGCTGGACACTTGCTTCTTTTCTGGAAATTGGGAATTTTGGTATATGCCAGCCTTCAGTGAATACATTGAGTGCTGCATCTCTAGTGAGCTTAACTGGTAGAACATGTATTACATGTGTTAACTCTTTGCTGGAGGATCTGTGTAGTCTATGTGACTCCACTGACAGAGGACTCTTGGAAGCTTGTACCTGATTTCCTCTGGACTTTGTTCCATATGCTTTTTCCCTTTGCTGATTTTGCTTTGTAGCCTTTTGCTATAATAAACCATAACTGTGAATATAATGATTTCTGAGTCCTGTGAGCCCTTCTAGCAAATCACTGAATCTGGTGATAATCTTGGGAATCTTCAGCATCCCCTGGGTGTTGGTTTACTTAATTTTTTCATATTGTTTAGCATTGATATTTCATATTTCATGCTGAGAGTTTAAAAGTGTGACATTTTAAAAAATTGTGAGATAGTAAAAACATTTTACCCAACTAAAATTCTTGAAGTTCTTTTGTCTTGCAAGAGTCTGGTACGTTACTTTTCTTTATATGTTTTAGTCATTTGAAAACTTAATTTACTTTATTTTTCAGAATTGGAGACTTCTGTCACCCAAAAGAAGATTTCTAGTCCAACTTTATTACGAAATGAAAATGGTATTGATATGCAGCCAGCTGAGGAGGCAGTTACCCAAAGACCTCGAAGAAAGACAAAGTAAGATTTATTTGTCCTTTTAAATATTCTCCAGGGTTACACTGATGCTTTATTTGGAGTTACCAAACAATAGCTTCTTGTTAAGTCTTATTAAATACTCATATCCTTATATCTCTAGGATAAGTAGTTTTACAAAATATCAGTTAATGAACCATTGAAAAAATAAAGTTATACTAATTCAGGGAGGTGGAACAAGATGGCGGACTAAAGACAGCTCCTTTGTAGCTATGTGAGTGAGATTAGAAAGAAGGGACTCTAGCCACCCTTGGCTAGTGGGCCTTGCCCAGAAACATCTGCCCCAGAAACACTTTAGGGGCACTGGGAGGCAGCAGGAGACTCCAGGAGTCCCAGAGGAGGTTGGAGCAGTGGAAAACTGGCACAAAGACAAGTACTTGCATGTCAGCAGAGACCACTGGGTTTAGCAGCAGTGGTAGTTTGAGACAGAGAAGGCCTGCCCTGTGGGTTTTTTGTTTTTTTGTTTTTTGGGACCTGGGCACTTGGTGGAGTTTGCTTTGGGAGAGCTTGGGCAAATGAACAAGTGATCTTGAACAGAACCCAGGGGCCAGGACTGAGCCACTGGGTATAATGGAGCTCTCATTTAACTGGGGCCCAGGTATAGCCACTGTGGGAAAGCTGGCTTGTAGAACCAGCCCTAAGGGTCCAGTGTGAGGTTGATTCTGGTGTGCCTGATAAGCTAGGCAGCCAGCCATGTGGAGATTTGAGTGACACATGCTTTCCTGGGAAAGCCATGGTGTGGCCAAGAGACATGGTTTGGAAAGGTCAAAGTGTGTCTATTAAGCAGGCTGACAAGAGCTTAATGCTCCCAACCCTGCGGGGATTAAGGAGATAGAAATCAGGAAGACGAGACAAAGTCTCCTTGGCAAGACAGAGGCTTCTAGCCTCCATCTTATACAACTGTATAAACCTCATGATTAGCAATCTCACAGCCTAGAAGATCAAATGTTGTCCAGGCTATATATAGCAAGATACACACACACACACACACACACTTATGTACATATGTATGTGTATATGTATATATATGTTTGCCCTTTTTAAAAAAATTTTTTTTCAACTTTTTTCCCCTAGATTTTTCTTTTCTTTCTCTTGTAATTACAGTTTTCATTCTTTCCTTCTTCAATAGGAAGAGCTCCCTTTTTGTTAGTTTTCTGTTTCTGTTATTTTCCCTGCAATTTTATCCCTTAAGGTTTTTTTTACTTGTTTTGGTTTGCTTTATAGTATTTTTGTTATTCTTATCTATTTGGTGGAGGTGGGGTCTCATTTCTGCTCAGGCTGTTAAGGAGCTCCTGACCTCAAGAGACCTATCCCAATCCAGCCTCCCCGAGGTGGGGAATTCTGGGTGTGGATCAAAGCACCCCACTGAACACCACATAACTCCTGTCTCTCTCTTTCTGTTCCTCTCTTCTTTTTGTTAGTCTTTCCTTCTACTCCTCCTTTCCTTTTTCTTTTCTCTTTTTTTTTATATTTTATTCCTTCTTGCTCTTCCCTCTTCTCTTCCTTTCTGTCCTTTACTAAAAATATACTTCAACACCTTAGGTCAAAGACACTCTTAAAGTAACTTCAAGAGCAGGAGGAAGTGAAAGGAAAAAGTAGGGCAAGAAGCAGACAAAAAGAAAATGCCCATGAGGAAGAAACAACAGAAAAATCCTGGCAACATGAAAAATCAGAACAGAGCAACCCCTCCCCCTCAAGGATCGTGAGGTAGCTATCGCAGAGGATTCCACCTATAAAGAAATGTTAGAAATGACAGAAAGGGAATTTAAAATACGGATGATAAAAACAGTGAAGGAAATTGTTGAGAAAGTGGAAAATAACTAAAAAGAAATCAAAACAGAACCAGATAAGGAATGAAAGACATGAAGAATATGGAAAGGATACAGTGGAGCTTAAGGAATTGAAGGAGTCAATTAGGGGGCTTACGGATACAGTAGAAAGTATCAATAACAGATTAGATCGTGGAGAAGAAAGAACCTCAGAGCTAGAGGATAAAGCTCTTTAGCTAACATAAGCAGTTAAAGAGATTAAAAAAAGAGAGAGAAAGCAGAATGTTCACTGAGAGAATTATGGGACTTTATGAAGCGTTCAAATGTATGACGTATAGGTATTGCAGAAGGGGAAGAAGAATACCCCAGAGGAATGGATGTCATAAATAAAAATTTCTCAAGTATCACCAAAGATTCTGAAACATTCCTTTCAGAGGGATATTGAACTCTAGGTCATCTCAACTCAAAGTAGCTTCTCCAGGACACATTGTCATAAACCTGTCCATAGTCAAGATGAAAGAGAAAATTATTTCAGCAGCCAGGAGTAAGTGCCAATTGACACATAGGGACAAATTCATCAGGGTGACACTGGACTTCTCAAATGAAACTTTTCAAGCCAGAAGAGAATGGTCATCTACCTTTAACCTTCTTAAACAAAATAATTTTCAGCCCAGAATTCTATATCCTGCTAAGCTAAGCTTTAACATTGATGGAGAAATTGAATCTTTTACTGATATGCAAACATTGAGGAAGTTTGCCACAAGACCAGGTCTTGTTGGTCTAGGAAATACTTAGACCTATTCTCCACACTGACTGTCACAATGGACCACCAGCAAACTAAATATCCAGAAACTAAAGGATGAAACCTAGCTTCCACAATGATGCAGATGATAAAACTAAGCAGTTGACTTTCACAAAACAAGATGAATAGAACTCTAGCACACTTATCAAATTTCTCAATAAATGTTAATAGCTTAAATTCCCCACTGAAGAGGCACAGACTGGATGATTGGATATTTCAATTCTAAATATTTATGTACCTAACTTAAATGCTCCCAGATTTATGAAATAGATCTTAATTAATCTGAGCAATATCTTAATAGTAGGGGACTTTTAACACTCCTCTTACAGAGCTGGACAGATCCTTTCAAAAGAAACTAAACAAAGATACAAGGGACTTAAATGTGACCCTAGAACCACTATGCTTAATAGACCTATACAGAATACACCATCCCGAAGCTAAGAAATATACATTCTTCTCATCAGCCCATGGAACATTCTCCAAAATACATGATATCCTAGGGCACAAATCAAACCTCAACAAAATCAAAAGAATTAAAATTATATCCTGTATCTTCTCAGACTATAGGCAATAAAGGTAGAACTCACCTCCAAAAAAATTTTCATCTCCACACAAAGGCATGGAAACTAAACAACCTTATGTTGAATGGCAGTTGGGTAAAGAAAGAGATAAAGGAGGAAATCATTAATTTCCTTGAGCACAACAACAATGGAGACACAAGCTACCAAAACCTGTGGGATGTTGCAAAAGCAGTCCTAAGAGGGAAATTTATCACAGTAGATGCCTACATCCAAAAAACAGAGAGAGAACACATCAACAATCTAATAAATCATCTGAAAGAAATGGAAATGGAAGAGCAGTCCAATCCCAAACCTAGCAGAAGAAAAGAAATAACCAAAATTAAATCAGAAATAAATGAAATTGAAAACAAAAGAATCATTCAGAAAATTGAAACAAAAAGTTGATTCTTCAAAAAGATAAATAAAATCAATAAACCATTGGTCAAATTAACCAGAAATAGAAAAGTAAAATCTTAACCTCAATCAGAAATGAAAAAGGGGAAATAGCAACTGAAACCACAGAGCTACAAGAGATTATTTCTGACTACTACTAAAAACTCTATGCTCAAAAGTTTGACAATATGGAGGAAATGTACCAATACCTGGAATCACACCCTCTTCTTAGACTTACCCGGGAAGAAACATATCTCTTGAACAGACCAATATCAAGCACTGAGGTAGAAGAAACAATAAAAAAGCCTCCAACAACAACAATAAAAAAAAAGCCTGGGACCAGATGGCTTCATATCAGAATTCTATCATACCTTCAAAGAAGTGCTTGTACCTATCCTGCAGAACCTATTCCAATACATTGAGAAGGAACAAACCTTCCCCCAACACGTTCTATAAAACAAACATTACCCTGATACCAAAACCAGGAAAAGACCCAACTAAAAAGGAGAACTACAGACCAATTTCACTGATGAATATTGATGCAAAAATACTCAACAAAATCTTAGCTAATAGATTGCAGCTACACATTAAAATATTATACATCATGATCAATGGGGTTCATCCCAGGGATGCAAGGCTGGTTTAACATACGCAAGTCCATAAACATAATTCACCACATCAACAGAAGCAAAAACAAAGACCATATGATCATTTCAATAGATGCAGAAAAAGGATTTGATAAAATTCAGCATTCTTTTCTAATAAGAACACTTAAGAATATAGGCATAGGTGGCACATTTCTTAAACTAATTGAAGCCATCTATGACAGACCTACAGCTAACATCATACTGAATGAAATAAAACTGAAAGCTTTTCTGCTTAGAACTGGACCAGACAAGGATATCCACTATCTCCACTATTAATCAGCATTGTGCTGGAAGTTCTAGCCAATGCAGTCAGGTAAGAGAAGGATATAAAGAACATCCAAATGGGGACAAAGGAGGTTAAACTCTCGCTCTTTGCTGATGATATGATCTTATACTTAGAAAAACCCAGAGACTCAACCACAAGACTCCTGGAAGTAATCAAGAAATACTGTAACTTCTCAGAGTATAGAGTCAGTGTCCACAAATCAGTAGCCTTTGTATATGCCAATAACAGCCAAGTTTAGAAGCAAATCAAGGACACAATTCCCTTCATAGTAGTGTCAAAAAAAAAAAAAATACTTAGAAATATACCTAACAAGAGGTGAAGGATCTTTCCAAGAGAATTATGAAACCCTAAGAAAAGAAATAGCATAAGACATTAACAAATTGAAGGGCATACCATGCTCTTGGCTGGGAAGCATCAACATTGTTAAAATGTGTATTCTACCCAAAGCAATATACAGATTCAGTGCAATCCCCATTTAAAATACCAACATCATATTTTGAAGAACAGGAAAAAATAGTACTTCATTTTATATGGAATCAGAAAGAAACCCATATAGCTAAGGCTATTCCTAGTAATAAAAACAAAGCAGGAAGGCATCACCTTACCACACTTCAGGTTATATTGCAAGTCCACAGTGATCAAAACAGTATAGTATTGGCACAAAAATAGATATATAGATATATAGAACATAATAGAAAACCAAGAGATGAAACCAATCTCTAGTTCCCATCTGATCTTTGATAAACCAAACAAAAGCATACAGTGGGGAAAAGAATCCCTATTCAACAAATGGTGGTGGGAGAACTGGATAATCACATGTAAAAGACTGAAACTGCACCTGTACCTTTCTCCACTTAACAAAAATGGACTCAAGATGAATAAAAGATTTAAATGTAAGACATGAAACAAGAAGAAGAAATTGTGGGGAAAACTCTTGATGGTGTTGGACTGGAGGAAGATTTTATGACTAAGAGTTTAGTGGCCATCCCAACAATAATAAAAATAAATAGGTGGGATTTAATTAAGCTGAAAAGCTTCTGCATAGCTAAGGACATAAGTAAAGCAAAAAGACAGCCTTCATAATGGGAAAAGATATTTGCAGGATATGAATCTGACAAAGGGTTGATAACTAAAATCTACAGAGAGCTCAAATTAATCAACAAAAAAGAGCAAACAATCCCATATAGCACTGGGCATGAGATACCAACAGAACTTTCTCTGATGAAGACAGAGGCATGGTTAACGAATATTTGAAAAAAATGCTTATTGTACCTAATTGTCAGAGAAATGCAAATCAAAACCACCCTGGATACCACTTATCCCTAGAAAGAATAGCCCACATCACAAAGTCTCAAAGGTACAGAGGCTGGTGTGGATGTGGAGAGAAGGGAACACTTTTACACTGCTGGTGGGACTACAAACTAATACAACCTTTTTGGAAAGAAGTATGAAGTATCCTCAAAGAACTCAAATTAGACCTCTCATTTGATCCTGCAATCCCATTTCTAGGCATATACCCAGAAGAAAAAAATCATTTTATCATAAGGACATTTGTACTAGACTGTTTATCACAGCTCAATTTACAATTACCAAAATGTGGAAACAATCTAAATGTCCACCAACCCAGGAATGGATTAACAAGCTGTCGTATATGTATACCATGGAATACTATTTAACCATTAAAAAGGATGGAAACTTTACATGTTTTGTATTAACCTAGGTAGAATTAGAACACATTCTTCTTAGTAAAGTATCATAAAGATAGTAAAAATTAAAGATAATGTAATAAGCTATTATGATTTGTTTTATCATGTTTATAGAATTCAAACTATGATTGTTTCGGCAATAGGTAAAACTATATTTTAGCATAGGAAATTAAGGTAAAATGAGTATCATACTTTAAAGAAATACAGTTAAAGTTACATATAACATTATTGATTGTATTTAAAAAATGACCCTACAGGCTCAGCATCTATATCTCAGTGGCTAGGGTGGTGCCAGCCACATATATTGGAGTTGGTGGGTTTGAATCCAACCCAGGCCTGTCAAACAACAATGACAACTACAACCAAAAAACAGCCAGGCATTGTGGTGGGTGCCTGTAGTCCCAGCTACCTGGGAGTCTGAGGGAAGAGAATTGCGTAAGCTCAAGAGTTGGAGGTTGCTGTGAGCTGTGACACCATGGCACTGTACCAGGGGTGACATAGTGAAACTCTGTCTCAAAAAAAAGACCCTACAAATAGTATCAGTGTCTGTATAAAATCATATAATTTTAAGTTTGGAATATAGATCTAGTTTAGTGGCTTCATTTTCCAGATGAGGCCTACAGAAATTTAGGCAACTTGCTGCATATAACAGTTAGTGGTTTCATCTGAGTAAGAACCGAATTTCTTGACTCCACATCCAGAACTCCTTCCATTATATTTATAGGTAATCTTTATGTGGGACTGTAAAAATTCAATAATCATTCATTTTTCTTACATACGCCCTTATAACAGGAAAACCCAGCCAGCAGAATTACATTATGCCAATGAGCTAGGAGTAGAAGAGGAAGATATAATTACTGATGAGCAAAGTGCTCCAGAACAACAGTCTGTATTCACTGCACCCACTGGCATTAGCCAGCCCGTAGGCAAAGTATTTGTGGAAAAAAGCCGTAAGTAATTCCTTGTTTTGAAACAAGAATTCCTTAAAAATTGTATAAGTCCTTTGTCCTGGAAATTATACTTCTACAAATCTGAATTAATAAGCAAAAATATGGGTAAACATTTATATACAGGGTGGCCATAAAATTCATGTGCAGTTTTAAATTGCACAATATTTTAAGTTGCACAGGAACTTTATGGCCACCCTATATAAAGCTAATCACCATACTGCTATTCATGAGAATGAAAAACTGGAACCAACCCAAATATAAAACGAGAGGAATGATTTTAGTAAATTTTGGTGTGTGTATTTGATAAAATATTCTATGCCATTAAACGTAACATTTAGAGGAAGTTTTTCATTTCATGGAAAGAGTCTAATGAAAAGAAAGCATACACACACACAGAGTTTGATCTCAACTACAGAAAAGTGCATAGGACAAAAGACTTGAAGGAAATAGGCCAAATATTAATGCTGGCCATTTTGGGGTTATGGGTATTTTTTTTTTTTAATCTTCCCCCACCCCTGCCTGTTTCTTTATACTTTGTATACTTTACTAGTTTTCTGCAGTTGGTAGTAGTTGTGTTGGTGGGGCAGGTAATGATATACATGTTGTAAATAAAAATAAATGAAATTCATGATAGTAATACTATATAAAGTAAAAATACATCATTTTAACTGTACATACTTTTGGAAAATAGTTCTGAGAATGTAAATATGTACTGTTTTTGAGACTTTTGCAATTCACTTTGGCTCAGGCTAAAATCTATAACCATAGATTGAGTAAGCTTAAACTATTGACATTTATTTTTCACAATTCCTGAAGTTGGGAAGTCTAAGTCAAGGTGTCAACAGATTGGGTTCTTGGTGAGAGCCCCTTCCTGGCATGTAAATTGCTATCTGTTCATTTGATGGCAAAGAGAGTTATGGTATTTCTTCCTCTTTTTAAAAGGATGCTAATCCTATCATGGGATCCTAACCCTGTGACCTCATGTAAACCTAATTACCTACCAGTGTTTTCACCTCCAGATACCATTGCATTGTGGGTTAGGGCTTCAACATATGGATTTGGGGGTGACACATTCAGTCTATAACACAATGTTTAAGAAAAACCTACCCAAAGCATGAGCATGATCATGTACTATTCCTATAGATATGCTGCCTCAATAACTCATCTGAAACATAAAGGTTAAGCCTTAAAATTTACAATTCACTCTGGGTGCCTATAGCTCAGTGGTTAGGACGCCAGCCACATGCTCCAGGGCTGGTGGGTTCAAACCTGGCCTGGGCCTACTAAACGACAAAAACAAGCAAACAAAAACAGCCAGGCATTGTGGCAGGTGTCTGTAATCCCAGCTGCTAGGGAGGCTGAAGCAAGAGAATCGCTTAAGCCGAAGAGTTGGAGGTTGCTGTGAGTGCCATAGCACTCTACTAAGGGTGACAAAGTAAGACTCTGTCTCAATAAAAAAAA